GGGGGGGGGGGGGGAGCGCGGAGAACGGTCGGCGAAGAGAGAGAGAGAGAGAGAGAGAGATAATAGAATGCATTATTCAATAACGTGATTAATTTACAACATAAACCGAATATTGCGCGAGCCGAACAAAATTTAGCGCGCGCGCGTATGTTTGTGTGCGTGTGTCAGAGGGAAGGAGAGAGAGAGAGAGAGAAATATTAAAACGATGGATGTCTCGTTATATAACGCGATATCCACCGCGACGACAACGACTAATTCCGGTCGGAGTCGCGGATCTAATTAACGCGGCTCAATTTCACCGTTTCGACTAAGTGCGTTACTCGATCGCAACGTGCATCACCGCGAGAATACGCACACTGTGTGCCTCGTGCTCCCTCCCTCTCTCTCTCTCTTCTTCTCCATCTCTTTCTTGTTCTCCGCACTCTCGCCGACATTCCCGACGGCGCGTCACACGGCGGAATTTATATTCGCGCCCTGACGAGCGCGGAGAGAAGCACCGGTGAGGAAAAAAGGGGTGCAACCTCACGCGCGCTCGCGGAGTGTGTTTTACTTTCTTCGCGGGCGCGTTAAACGCGACCGCTACGGCGGGGGTTAATGCACTGTTGTTGGCTCATGATAAAATTAAAGGAACAAAAGGAAATTGGGCGCGAGGACACGGAGAGAGAGAGAGAGAGAGAGGAGAGAGAGTGGTAGTGGAATGATGAAGTATGAAATATTCGTGTCGCGTGACGCTGCAATTTATCCGTCGGCGTTGCAGCGCCGTTAATACCGCCGGTGCCTACGTACCGTGACTTTGTCACGGGGCGATATGTCGCGTGTAAAGAGAGAGAGGGTATATACTCGTAACGAGGAGCGTGTGGAAGCGCGGGGAGGGCGAGTGAGAGAAGAGGAAGGAGGGAGAGTACGCAAACCGGGAAAGGCGAATTTATTTCCCGACAATGTTTGCAATCATTTTGCGATTACGAATGCAGCGGAACACCGGTCGCGGGTGAACGTGCGACGTCGGCGACGATGGTGGTGGCTAACGCGTCGAAAATAAATTGTGAAATAACTGACAGGTTGCTACGAGTTGCACGCGCGCGCGAGCGAGCAAGCGAGCGAGCGTGCGAATGCGCTTGTGTGTGTGTGTGTGTGTGTGTATATATATATATATATATATTGGAACGAATTGATTAATAAAACATGTCAACAATATCGGCGGCGGCGACGGCGCCGATAAAAGATTGATTAAACGCGTGCGCTCGCGCGAGCGCCGCTAACCGGCGGCGTTGGGAAAAAGCCGCGAATAAATCACGCGCGAATAAAGGCCAACATTGCGAACAAATTTCCGCGACTGCAACGGAAGCGCGGTCGATTATACGGTGTGGCGATCTGATCGCGGTCGAATTCAATGGAGCGGACACCTTGGCAAAATTGAACGAACGATCCCACTCTTTCCTCCGTCCCTCCTCCCCCCACTTCTCTCTCTCTCTCTCTCTCTCTCTCTTTCTCTCTCTCTCTTTCATTGTATATATAGATATTCCTATTTTCTTATCTCTATTCAACTCGAGAAATTTAAATGTACACTAACTCAGGAGTCGCCCATTGTTATCATTATTATTATGTAATCATTATGTAAATTTAACTTTCTATTCTTTTCATCATTCCCAACTATCTTCAATAATATGTTTATATAGTGACGAATTTTGTAAATAACGGCCCACTGAAATTTTTGTGTCACTTTAACATGGGAATATGCTAAAAGGTACACAAATAACATATTCGCCTTGTTAATATATCACTTTTTAACATATTCATCTTGTAAAATAACACTTCAGTGGGCCGTTATTTACACGAAATTTGTTACTATTACTTATTGTAAAATTCCTCTACCATCCTGCTCATTCTTCGATATAATTTCTAGCTTTTCGTCCTTAGAGGGCTAATCCTAGACAACAATAAACGCTTCTCTCTCTCTCTCTCCTTCCCGTTTCGTCGCGCCTCAACATCTGTCAGGATCGGCAACGATCGGAGACTGTGTCCTGCGGCACGAGATAGCCGACAGACGACGAGACGACATCGTCATCGACGATCGCGACGAGACACGGCTATTGTTCCGCAATTATGGTCACGCCGAAACGGAATATCGGAGGAGCGAAGCAACCCCGTGCGAACGGGCGGGCGAGCGGACGAACGGGGGCGAAGGAGCGGGAGGAACAACACGACGGAAATAAATCTCCGCGTGATTGATCGTCCGCCATGAATCGCGCGCGCCGAGCGCGATATTAATGCACTATCAGTCGTGACGGGCTCGCGGATGGCTCGCGTGTACCGCGCGTGTAGCTTTGACGATTCTGTCGCTCGTCGACGTCGCACGCTCGTCGCCTCCGCCCGATATTTATGCGCTCGTTTTTCGCAGCGGGTCGAGGGTTACGCGAAACAAAAAAAAAAGAAAAAACGAGAGAGGGGAAAAATCCCGGCGAATCGGCGGCCTCCGCCTGAAATTTCGCGAAGCGCGTCGATATATAACCGTACATTCGTTACTGTATGCGCTATTCTTCCCCTCTCTGTCTCTCTCTCTCTCTCTCTCTCATTTTTTATGTCTCTTTTTATCTTCCTCATTCAGATGATTCCGTTACACTCTTTTCCAGTCGGATCCGGAATATGGGCTTCAACAGCCGGCACCGTCATAAAATTCCGCGCCCCCTAAGGGCGCGCAGAGCAAGGGAACCAAAAGGTTGGTCAATCGGTTAATAACATGCGCTGCGAGGTGTGCATACGCGAGTATCCTTATCTCCATTTGGTAGCGTGTTTAAGGGAGATTGGAATACAGTCGGACACGTGTCGGGCGTGATATCTCGTTCCTCGTTCGACACGGAAAGGTGGAAGAGAAAAGAGAAAGGTTGCTAGAGATCACACGTTGATAAAAATTTTATCTCTCGTCGCGAGAGACGTCCGGCTCGAAATCACACGCTCTTAACAAGACGATATCGCGACGGACAGCAGTGGACTACGAGGCTTACGATCTTCTTTCCTTCTCTTTGCATCTGTTTTCAAATCTCTGAGTCCTGTCGAAATGTTCCATGTTAATAAAAATAAATAAGAGATCGTGTAAGAGAAGAAAGTTTGTTGTCTTGTTTTGACCTCTCACCCTTATTAATTTCTATTAGCAAGAATGTGCTATCCAAATTCATATAATTCGAGAGACAATAATTTGTATGAAATTACTCGAGAAATTCCCCCCTTCGTCCATGTTAATTCCGCGACGAAATTTTTAGGATTAACGTAGAACTGAAATTTCGAAACGGGGATTGGAATGAAGCCCGGAAGGAAAAATCACGGCGGATCGTAGTAGGCGAGTTCCTCTGCGAGAGGCAGGATTTGCTTTTTAATTAACTTACACCGTCAAAATTGGCCGTATAATGTCAGCTACGTAGCGCCTAAGAATTCGCAGCGCCGATCACACATCGATTTTCGATCGGATCGCGAGCGGGCCGTCGCTCGCGATCCGATCGTGATTTCCCCGACCGCGGCTCGCATTGTTTCGCAATCAAGGCGACATTGCTTCCACTGCCGTCGCAGCATGCGTCAACATCGATCATTGGTTCTGTTTTCTTCCGAGTCTGTTCGTATTCGACAGAATAAATAAATAAATAAATAAATAAATATATATATATATATATATATATATATATATAATTATCCGATAAAAACAAGCTTTCTTTAATGACGCGCAACTCCGAAATTTAATTCCGCGCGACTACTTAGCGTTTAATCGCCTCGCTGGCGCGAGAACTCATTAATAAGGGGGCGACGCGCCACGAGAAGCGCGTTTTCTTCAGCTAGCTCGATATCCGGAAGATACACATTTCCGATAAATAAACATCGTCGCGGGAAAGATAGATCGAGTTTCCCGTGACGCAGGGGAAAGAAAAAAATGAGAAAGGATGGGAAAAAAGGCGGGGGCGAGAAATGATTTGAGGCTTTTTCGACTCCCCTGTCCCTCGATCGAACTGACTACATTGTCTTTCACGAAGAGCCTTCGAACGCCGGTAATCCGACACCTTGATGGATCAAAGCCGCGCGCAAGGTCGTTAAAGGAGCCGCTCGTTCCCTCGTCGTTTCCGCTTTGCCCTCTCACGATTCCGGGCCACGACGGCATTTCTCCCGTCCGTCGTAGCGTCGGTGCGCCAGCTGAAAAAAACGTTCGACGGGTAGAAGCGTGGAATGGTCTTACCTCTCCGGAGGCGACCGCCTCGCCTGGAATGAAGAGTTCCGGGTAAACGTTGTCCAGGTACCACTTGAACGACTTGCACCCCAGTTTCTTCCTGAGGGTCTTCCGCTCTGATACGTCGCCATAGTTCCCCTGTGAAAGTTCCGTCTTGCCGTCAGTATCGCGCTCACAATGTCACGGAGAAAAAGGAAGAAAAACGTGAGACTTCTTGGACGAAACGTCCAATTTATTAAAAAAATAATAATAAACAGAAGAAAAATAAATAAAAAACATTGTTCGCATCATCATAAAAATCGTGCCGGAAACCAAACTGATCAACTCCATTTCAAGTGAATTCCTTGATTTTACTGCCGAAGCTCACGATTGATGTGTAGTGTTCTTTTTCTTTGTGACTTTTCAAAATTAAGAAATTTACAAAATGTAACGTTGGTTGGAGAGAGATTATTGATTGATATTAAAAGCAGGATTGAGTATTTATTTACGCGTAAAATATAATAGTTTATATTTACACGTAGACAATGTAAATTATGTATTATATAATATGTCATCTATATAAATAATCAATAAACCGTTATATAGAATGGTTCGTTTTCTTCGTTACATTTCTTATTCTTATATATTTTTTCTGTTGATAGCTCACAAATAAACCTAAATGATATAATCATTTATCATATGTTAACGGCATGCATCACTTATATCACACACTATGTGAATATTTTAAATATGCGTAAAGTAAATTATATCTAAACTTGGACCTAATGTAACCTATTTAGAATTGGTGAAATTATTTGGTTTAAACATAACGGCACAATTTTAATATTTTATGACGCCACGAAAAATAAAAAATCTTCTATTTGGCAAACTTGATTTTATATCGATAAAAAAAGAAAATAATTATTATATGCATTTCTTGCTTATTATAATCATGAACTAAAACACTGCCTTTTTCCATTTATTCGTAAAAGTCCACATGTGAATTTAAATGATCAAATTTCTGTGTTACTTGCATATGTCAACTTTGCAACTTTTAATATCAAATATCTCCGTAATTAACGCCAAAATCAGATACGCGAGCCATTTTATAGTTTAAATTAATTTACATTAACATTTATCTTTTATCTCTACATTGTGCCATGTAATTTATAATAATTTACACAGTTTACATTCTCCACGTGAAAAAAATCCCTATAAATATCAAGAAGACAATGCGTAAATTATCGTGTAGACGTAATCTTAAAATCAGCGGTATATAAACCCAATCAAAAGGAAAGGACTCGTGTGGGATTTCGTTATTTTTCAGAATACAAAGTACTCGTCGCAGGAGGAGATTCCTTAATGTTAAATTAACATTTACAAGGAAAGGAAAAACTGATACGAGAAATCGGATGTCCACGACGATTGCGATTATTCCGACGAATAATAATACAGTCAGAAAATACAGTCAGAGCTGCCTCGCGAAAACGCGAGTCCGACCCAGTTGCGGATGTTACTACTGCGAACGTGCATGCTCACGCACACGGGAAGGGAGGGGCGACGCGTGACTGAGAGGGCGGTGATTTATCTTATTATTTTATGAAGCCATCTACGAGGACGACATTTTCGAAGGATTTGATCATTACACAGCGGCGTGCTTACGGAAAGCGATTTATTCCCAACGCTTCTCGATTTATCTCGTCGATTGGATCTCGGCGGGCGGACGGGCGGGTGGCCGGGAGGGCGGACAAGCATCAAGGATAAATGACAGATCGTTATAGAGGGGCTCGCGAAAGAAAACGTCTCCCCCTCTTCACGAGAGCGAGGACATGCGCGCGGCGCGATCCTTAAGAGCACTTGGCACGTTTATGGCCCTTTTTTACGACCCGAGTCCCGCTCTACGATCCTCTCCATCATCGGCCACCTTTATCGTTACCCTCCGCGTCCCATTCTTACCGTCCCCGGTGTTTACGGGTAACTCGGATCAAAGAAACATAATAGAAGCTTCGGCGAGGGCGCGCCGCCGAGTAATTCGGCCGACAAGAACTTTATCCCGCCGGTCAGGCATCAATTATTACTAATTATCCGTCCCTACGGACGGCGTACCACCACCGAGACGCGCCTTTTCGCGCACGGATACTTCCACCATTGCGCCGCTATCTCTTCCTTTCTCACTTCAGCTCCGCGTAGCGGAGATTTCGTCACGCCGAATTTACTTTCACGACGATATCTCCGCTTTCGCGTGAGCATAAACGGGCGATTGTCCTTGGAGAACATGCCATTTATTCGAGGAAAAACGTCGAAGCCACGACGTGCCATTTTATTTTTGGGCTCTAAAGCTCTGTTGAAGGTGTAAAATTAAAATTTATACGTAAAACAATAACATTTCTCTATCAAAATATTTGGATGATTTTATGAAAGTTATTATATATTTCTTTGTAAATAATTATTTTCTAAGATGTTTGAGGATTAACTTCTAAAAGATAGGCTCTAAAATTGACACACCCATGAGATATTTATAGAAAAAAATAAATAAAATAAAATAAAAACATTTAAATTATATTATTTTGTACATTTATTCCATATCCTTACATGTTATCTTTAATTTTATGTAATTTTTAAAACTAAAAATGTTACGATGTATATTTTTCTTTTTATATCGAAATGGATTCCCTAACTTCTTCCCGACCATTTTAAACAAACAAAAACAGAGGAAAATTAGCCACTAATAGTTTCTATTATATTATGTAAAATGATATTTCACAGCAAAACTGCCACTTCAGTTCCTACTACTGTATAAAGTCCTTCAGGTAAAAGTCTCATCTATCTCCGACTTCTTACAGATTAGCCAGGTTATTCCTTATTTGATCAAAAATGGCTCAACTGAATCTGTCAAATAAATGGGCTCTGTTTGTAACTAAATGTCACTCTAAGATGGGAAGTAAATAATAACGAAATAACAGAAAATTTAATTTTTAAGAAATTAATAAATCTATTTTTATAAATAGTACTATTATATACAATATAAATAGTATTATATATAAGGTAAACGACATATATATTCTCAGAAAAACAAACACCTGAATTCGACCGTAGACATTCTTCATGGATAAAGACATTTTATAGTGACAAACGTCATTCTACATCAAAGAGTCGGAGATAGTCGGACTTTTGCTTGAGGCACTCTACTGTACGCAGTAGACGAAGTTCGTGATCTGTCCGACAGAGTTCGATACGCTGAGAAAAAGATTTCTTCAAATTTAATAAATTGTTATTGCATCAAAACAAATTCCATCATTCGCATGTTCCAAAGAAACTAATGTTTCGAATTAATAAATACAATCGTTAGACTCTTCAACGAATATGTATGTTTATCTTAAATGAAAAAATTTGTTTGAAACGAAAGATAATTTTCTTATGAAGAAATTATTTGCTTCATTTTACATTTTATTGCAACCAAATAATATTTTACTTGATTAAAAGATATTATTTCAAATAATAGCGTTCTTTCTGTTAAATAATAGAACTTTCTTGAATGAGACGATAAAACTTTTACTCAAACACATAATATTTCGTACATGTTGCTTCTATAAAAAAAATTTTAGTCAAATAAACAGAAGTATTAAATCTAAAGAAACCTTTTCCTCTGTGTATTTTGCAGCCGAGAAACACGGACATGTCGGTTTACCGTATCTCTTTTGTTTCTCCTCTGACTCACGACGATATAATATTCGCTTGTCGAAATTCGTCCTTCGCGCGCTTCAGTTCGCCAACCACGGAGTCGTGTATTGATTTTCCGGCGCGATAACGCACATTTTTAATTGTCTCTTGTTGTTTTCTCACGTTACGAGGGTTGCTTGAGTACATACACACACACACACACACACACACGCGCCGGGAAGAAGGAAGAAAGGAGGGAAGGTTATGCACGCGACGATGCACAAGTGCTCACCTTGTCGTGACCTATCCTCTGATAGTAGTACTTGGCGTACTCGTCCAGCCACACTTCGCTCAGCCTTATGCTGTTCCTCTTGAGCACGTTCACGCCGCTGCGCCACTTGTAAGGCGAACGTTTCCTGAAGATGTGGCCCACGTGCGAGCACGGCACGATTTCCAGGGTGCCTAGCGAGGGCCGCGTCGAGTTATTAGATTAACATTTTCAGTCGCGCGCTGCCGCCGTCACTGCCGTTTTATGTTAGGTCGCGCGCCAATATCGCGGGAATCCCAGGGTAATCGCGAAAAACGCAAAGTTTCGCGAGAGAGAAAAATAACAACTACTCGCGAGAATAAAACGAAAAATTGACGGCAGTTATCGCGGAACAAATAATCGTGTGCAAGTGTAACACGCGCGATAAAATAAACGCTCTTCCCTCGTCGAGTAAAAAATTGACGGAAATTTACGGCAGCTGACGTTACCACGTTCGTTCGTCGGTTACTCGAGAATCCACGAGTCGAAATTTTCGTCCTGCATTAACTCTTCAAGCGGGAGAAACAGCGGTAACTTCTTATTTGTAGCATCGAAAGACAATACATAGTAAACATTTTTATGTTAATTTAACACAAGGTGAATATATTGAAAAATAACATACAATATATTACGCCAAAAATTAACACAAAATATATGACACTTTGATACTACTTGAAAGCAAATTATATATTAAATTGACATATTTATAATATCAAATACAACAAATGTTATTTTTGTACTAAGAAAATATTATTTATCGCTTCTTTCTCATCACGTTATTCTTACAATATTGTCGATAATTTTGCCCGAAATGTTCTTTATAAGTATATATATGTTAATTTATATGCCATTTCTAATATTCGATAAAATTAACATCCATACATAATACATTAATTGATTCCGAAGTACAAAATGTGTTATTTTTAATACTTACACATGTTAAATATGCGACTCAACACAAAATATATATTGAGACAACATAAACACAACATGTCAGATTAACACACAGGTGTATTAAAAAATTTAACAGAAGAATTTTAACAAGAACCAATTTCAACACAAGTACAAAATGTTTCTTACTGTAATAAGTAACGTTTTGAAGACTCAATGTAGAACTAACTGTAGAACTAACTAATTAGACTCAATATAGAACAAAAATTTCGACTCAGGTTCCGACTTTTCGAAGCGCGCGATCGAAGCGTCATCGTTTGTAGCCAATTTCTTCTGTTGTTCACCGTTCCCGGGTAATGTACACATTAATTGCGCTTACCTCCGCACATCCAGGTTTTGAAGGACAACTCGAGGTTCTCGCCGCCCCAAATGTCGAAGCCGCTATCATACGTGCCGATCCGCTCGAAGAACACTCGGTCTATGGAGAAGAGACCGCCGGCCATCGTCGGCGACCAAACAGGTTCGGCCGGGTTTTTGTGCCGTTTTTTCTCCCTCTCCGGCACCGCGTGCCAATTGAACTTGAGTTGACAGAGGTTAAACACACGCTCAAGAATCCGTTCGCAGTCAAGCGCGCGAGCGAGCCCTCCCCCCCCCNTGCAATTCTTCACACGAGGAATGTTAAAAATCGCGCGACGTGTGGATCCTTAACCTGGGAATAGTCACCTGGGGTCATTTCATGCCCCAGCGGTCAGAAAATGAAGCTCATATCGCGGTGGATTTTTTTACTGATCGAAAACCAATATGTACCTTTCATTTGAACATTTAAAGACTTAACCTTAAAATAGGCCGTGACTCCTCTTATTCTTATAATATAAGCCTGTAAAAACACATTGGGGTATAAAACGACCCCAGGTGACCGTTCACGTTATAAAATTTGTCGACTGCAGTAAGAGTTCGTATTGTGAGGATAAAATAATAGTAAGTTTGAACGAGGTTATATGTAATTCTTAAATATTATTTTGCCTTCCCTTCATTTTTTTTTTTTTAATAGTGAATAAATATATATTAATAAATCAATAGGGCAATCGATAATATGCTATATTTTGTTAATAATAGCGGTTTTTAATCGGGGTTTAAATGACTCCAGACAATCGTTCACGTAAAAAAGAAAACAAATAAGGTGACTATTTCCGGATTAAGCATGACGCACGGGATCGATCCGTGTCCGAAGTGCGTCTCGCGACTCTTCGCACGCTCGGAAAAATTAATCCGACGTTGTCGTACGCGCGCTGTCCATACGTAAACACAATTACATTCCGCGAGAACGGACACGTTCTCTCTACCGCCGGGCCCCCATCACGTCCACGCAAAGATTTCGTTTACCTGAAGATTCCAATCGAATCCGCCGACGTTTACGCCACCCGAGTCCCGCCAGTGGTATTCCAGGGTTGTGTCGTCTATAACATCGATCACCGGACAAACTACCGTCGTCGGATCGCGAGCGATCCGGTCGAGAAGTGGCTCCAGCCAACCCTCCGTACACTCGCAATGGCTGTCCAAATACGTGAGCACCGGAGCCTTGGCCGCCGCTGCGCCCAACAGGCGCGCCCTGATGAGGCCCTCCCGCTTATTCGCCCTGATAATCCTCACCTTCGGATAATTCATCATGTAGTCTTCCAACTGACGCTTCAGATGAGCTGCGGAATGATCAATTTCCTGTTATTGGCCGCTCCACCGCGAACACGCGCGTGTATTATGTCGCAAAATACTATGGCAAGTGCGGCATTAGAAGGAATACAAAACTGACGTACCATTTTGCTTTCTTTGAACTCTAAAGCTCTGTTGAAAGTATGCAAGTAAAATTTATGCGCGTGGATACAAACCAAAAACATTTTTCTATTAAAATGTGCGACAGTTTTATGAAAATTATTATATATTTCCCTGCAGATAATTATTTTTAAAGATGTTTGAGGATTGACGTTTCTAAAAACAAGAACTCAAAACCGACATACCCGTGATATCTAGAGAAGATGAATAAAAAAAATTAAATGAAAGCACTAAAATTATGATAAAATTATTTTTTATATTTATTACACATTTTTACAAGATATCTTTAATTTTGTATATTTTTTAAAACTTTACAAATTTTATAATTCATACTGCTCCTTTATTATGTCAAAAAAGATCCCCTGATTTATCTTTCAAACCATCTTAAACCTTAATATTTCTTACATAGTTCAATGACAGAGGATAGAGATTGGTACAAGATACAAAATGACTTAAAAAGTTCAAAACTTAATAAAATGGCATTGTCAAATTAATTACTTATCGTTGATTTGTTATTTTAATTTTTACAAGAAAATAGCTCAATAAAAATTTCAGCACAATAAAAAATTAAACGACTCTAATAGTATAATCAAANAATAAATGAAGTTTATGTTCTACTTAACAGAATTTAAGTGCTTTACAGCCAAAAAATATAAGTATATCGGTTTACCATATCTATGTTAGTTTTAGTACTTTTCCTCTTATGATCCAATATATAATATATATAATAAATATAAGATTATATATACATATATATATATAGTAAATATTTATAAATAATATTATAATTACATAAATATAATAACGCTTTTATATATTAACGCTTTTCTCAAATTTTCCTTGGAAGGAAACCGAAAAATCCGTAGAAAAATGAAAAATCCGTATCTTTCCAAATTTTTTCATTTATCCATGAAAAGAAACTGAAAAAAACCGCGAAAGAATTGAAAAATAATCGGATTTCTTCCGAGCTATTAAAATTATTATATATATATTATATTATATTATACTATTATATTAGTATAATTTGACTTAAATATTATTTATAAAAATACAATTCCTCTAAATGCCTTCATCTCATATTTTCAACTTCAACATGAATCTGTTCTCCCTTAATCCCTCATTCGTTTTACACACCAATCGTGCCAGGTTTAACGTTTTCGCGCGAAGCATTTTTTACGGCTCCCTATTTCGATGTAAAAAAAATATCTAACGTAAAAACGTTTAACATAGTTTTTAAATTGAGTAAAAATATTGGTTTCCGATAGCGGACGGTGGCGTGCAATTCGCGGCGAGACACGTTAATTTCGCACGATACGTATTGCTGCATTATTGACGGGTCCTTAGTATCCGGGATTTATCCGGGTCTCGATTTCATGGGAATCCCCGCGCGGGGTTTTCGATACCGTCGTTCACCCGCTGAATTTCCGTCGGTTTCCAAATATAAGTTGCCCCCTTGAATCCGCGCTACGCCACGTACTACGGAGAGCGGTATTGCAACAATAAACGGACCGGAACGCCCGGTTTCTCTTGGTTTCTCTAACGTCGATTACGTCCTTAACGTCGGATTACGGTTTATTTACGATGTCATTCGCAAGCTGTTGCGGCGCACAACAATCACCCGTCCCAGATTCATTCTCCGACCGCAATCAATTTAATTGTACGCTACACGTAGGGAACAACCATAATACCTGCGTAACAGTGTTACTCCTCGTGTATTTATCCGGATTATTAACATCGCGACGAGCTGAGTGCGGATGAGGGGGCAGAGATAAAGAGAGAGGGAGAGAACGAACGAACGAAAAAAGAAGAAGGAAAAGTAGGACAGTCGACGGTCACTTGCGCTTGTACTTCTAATAAAGATTATGTACGGCAAAGTGCCGGAGACTGGCTCCCTTTTAATCCTTCGTTAAAGTTTCTCGAGTAACGATCGAATACAAAAAAGGAAAACGAAGCTCGCGTGCGAAAAACACGTTCTCCTCCCCTCTCTCTCTCTCTCTCTTTTCCTTTTCTTTATTCAAGAAAGTTTACTTCTCAGGAAATATATAACCGGAGGGGGGGAGGGGTTACCTCTGGCATCCTGTAAAACGAGCGCGTTACTGTTGCTACTACTCGTCCGATTAAAAAGTAACTCGGTCGCGGCGGTAGGATGGTGCGAAAGGGCGAGAACAAGATAGATACATAGTCAGATCGAGAGAGAGAGAGAGAGAGAGAGAGAGATACGCACTATATCGCTGTTCAATCTTCTTTTTATCGGCACGCGTAAATCTCTCACGGCGTGGAGGAGGAGCGATTCCGTGTATCGGCACCGCTTCCGTGCCGAGAAGGAATGAAGGAGAAGGGGAGGAGGGGGGAGATTACCTCTGTAATGCCGTTTCGGGAGCGTGTTGTATGCCGTCGCACCGCGGTAACGCAACGTGTTATTTCTGGCAATCGTACGCGAGATTTAGATTTACGGCCGCGCGTATCCCGCCCGTAGCTACCGGACGGCCGGCAATTAGCAGACATTCGTGATTTATTCTCCGTTAGGGATGGCTTTATGAGGGACCGGGCCACTAATCCTAAGCCTCCACCCTGTTGTAAACTCGGTTAACTATGGATAGTATAAAGGGATTCTCTCTCTCTCTCTCTCTCGACGGATCAACGTGTTTCGTGCAGGCGCAATGATTACTGCGCGAAGCGGGGGACGACGCCGTCGCTGCGCGGAAGCGATAGAGACGTCCGCTCAATTTTATGCACCCCCTCCCCCTCGTTCAAATTAAGAGGGAGTGGGAAAGGGGGAACGCTCACAAGTTTGATGAGCTTCGACAGCAGTCATCGTACATGCGACGCAACGTACCATCGTTGCTACTGCCTCGCTCTCTTTCTTTTCGTCCAACTCGGAATTCCGCATCGATTCGCGAAGAATTTTTCTCCTCCACGAAGTCGAGCAGAAGGAGAAGGAGGAGGAGGAAATAAGAAAAATACGCGGAGTCGCGCGCTCGAGTATAGAGTTACCAATCGAGAAAATATCTCTCCGGCTCTCTTCTCTCTCTTTCTCTCTCTCTCTCTCTCTCTCTTATCATTCTCGAGGCGCAACGGAGAAATACGTCGGACGAGGCGGCGCGTCATGTCGTTAACTGTACTCGAACGAGGAGAGATGGACCGTAAGAGGTCAGAGGTTAGGCATTTAATGTGCACGCAAGCAGCATCCGCGCGCGGATTCCGGGCGCATACCGACTTGAATTAATTTCTAATGAATTCCTCGAACACACACACACACACACACACACACAGACATCTAAGCAATCTAAACGAATGCGTATACGTGCCTAGATATACATATCCACACACACAAGAATGCGCATAAACCGGCCGCAGCCATTATTGCAAATTTCATTACGACTTTACCGACTACGCAATGAGGCGCAGATAATGTAAACGCTCAAAGAGCCGAGCCGCCTGTCGCCGTTGCGAAAGCGAACATAATTAACTCCGTAATCCCCGTCTCCGATCCCCCGAATAAAAGCTAATTATCGTGCATGCGTTTCACCGAAGCTCGCCTGAAGCCCGTATCCTGTAAAATTCATTACAACTTTCTTGGGCTTTATTAATTATTGAATTCATTTTAATCCGTGCCGGCGCGTTTCGGTGGGCGACGGTGACGGCGGCGGTGAGACTGCGGGATATACAATTTTTCCAGGGCTTAACAAGATTAAAAAGAACGGCGGCTTCCCACCGCTCTCGTTCCAAATTAAAGAGGAATATTTGATAATATAGCGTTGATAAGCGAGAGAGAGAGAGACCGATTATCCATATTATAATATCTTCATCTATAACGTTCGCGCCTTCGAGCTATTTCAGCAGTGGTGACAAAAAGGAAGAAGACTCGCTTTTGCGCGCACACACATCCACACACATACACACACATTCATGCACGAAGTGTGTGTGTGCAACGTTATAACACCGTTTCTGCGATAATGCGATCAGCAGCTCGTTAAGAGGAACACGCCAAGCTGCCCAAGAGATCGCTAAAGCGGCCGACTGTACTTACGGGGGGGTTTGACTTCCGACCAGGAAGAAGGTTTATCTTCGGCTTTTAATAGGGAACGCGCAAGCAACTATCCCGGCTATGCGGCTTCTGTCACGTCGCGGTTTCCCGAACCCGGATTAATCTTTCACACCGTCCGTCTTCCATCTTCACCCCCTTCTGCCCCTCATGGGATTTTTATGATCCTTCACCTTTATTATGCGGGATTTCAACTGCATGCCTATTTGCGACGACAATTCGGTGACACGGTAATTAGACCGAACGGCGATAGAAGAAAGTGCCCCATCATTAGGTATACAGAGAGAAAACTTTCTTTAGATTCAGTATTTCTATTTGTTTGACTACTAAAATTTGTTTCATAGAAACAACATATACGGTATATTATTTGTTTGAAGTAAACATTTTGTTATCTCGTTCAAGAAAACTATTATTTAACGGAAAGAACATTATTATTTCAAATAATATCTTTTAACCAAATTAAATATTATCTGATTACAATACATATATATAATGAAACTAATAATTTCTTTATAAAAAAATTATCTTTCAGTTCAAGCAAATTTTTTATTTAAGATAAGGATACATGTTGATTTAAAAGTCTAACAATCAACAAATCAACTAATATTTATTAATCGAAACATTAGTTTCTTTGGAGCATGCGAATGATGAAATTTGTTTCGATGCAATAACAATTTATTAAATTTGAAGAAATCTTTTTCTCAGTGTACCATTTGTATTTGTTTAAATATCAATCAAATGAGATTGTAGAAATTTCGGAAAAATATATTCTGCAATCTCTGTATTGTTACTTTGTTATGTCCTTGTGCAATTTGCGATAACTTTTTATTTAGAGGAGTTATAGAATTGTGTCTTCAGAAGGATAATTTCTTATTTTCGAGTAAAAGGGTTTTATTTCTTACGAAAAAGGAAAAATATATTGTTGAAAAGTTGCTACAAGCTTGGAAGGAAACATTTTTATGCTAAGAAAAATAAAAGAGAAAAATTAAAATATGAAGAAGTTATGTGTACTTTGAACATAAAATAAAGTAGAATACAATCAAATAAATTAAATAAAGGAAAAAATTGATAAGTTAAATAAAAAGAAAAACAAAAATATCGAGCATCCTCTTACTATCCGGAATTAGGAACGCGTGTTAGCCAACATAACTTAAAACCGGTTCCACGCAATGTAGGCAAATGTAGACGAACGTAGGCGAACGTTGGCGATAATATTGATCATACGTGTTACATGCGAATGTAACCATGATAATATAATGAACGTAACATAAATAACATAATTTAACATACGCGTATCAATGTAATACCCGCTTAACATTCGCTTAACATTCGCTTACATTTGCCGTATCGTGTGCAGTTGGCTTAATTCTGAATGGCAGTAATAGGGTGTGTATAAGAAATAACGCGTGAAAACAGCATATTTTAAACTACTTTTGGACGTAAACATTTTAAAATATCTTTTATCCTAACCACACACAGTCGGTTTGCGCGTGAAATTCCAAAAAAAGATTTCTCTCCATCGAAATCACAATTTCAAAAGCGGCAAGCGATGCAAGTGCGCGCGATAGCGCGACCTGGCTCGAAATAGCTGCTAGCCGCAACCTTCCCCGCTAGTTACAAGAGAGTCAGTTGCAGAGTGCAGCACTCGGGAGTCAAGAGAAGCACCTACCCGGAATTAAGGAACCACCCGGAATTCGAGCATTTTCCCCTACGGTATCGTGAGACTGTTTACAAGATTTCGCTTTCATCCCACTAAATCGACGAGTTACACAGTCCCTGGCCATATTATTAGACGCATTATGATTCTTTAATAGAATACAGGTTAGGAAGAGGAGAAAAGCTACTAATTTCATTTTTACTCGATTAAAATCATTTTCGGTGTCAAACGGTACTTTTACTTCTGCAACCTTCTGAGCTGTCAAATCACTTGTTTTATCCATAATTTTTGTAAACAATATTTATATCTTTCGCACAAGAATTTATATTTCCGTTCGTAAGCAAGGAATCTGAAGTTTCAAGTCACAAATAAACAAAAATAAAACTAAATTTCAATTGACACACATACTCAAAACTCACGTATGTTCTCGTTATTATCAACAATGCAACTAGCGCAGTTCATACTTATTCAAGGTTCAACGGCCAAATGAAATGACGTCATAAAAAATATCTTTTATAGAATAATAGTTTCTTAACATAATTCGATAGCCGTATTATAAAGCTGATTCTCGGAAGTCAATGAAATGTAAAAAATTAAGGTGCGACTAATAATGTAGACAGAGACTATATATGCGCATTGGTACCTGTTTTCTGTTTTCGCATGCAACAACCGCGAACGGCTGTTAATAATCAAACAGCCGAAACGCCTGCTCGGTTCCATGCGTCGACCGTACAGATTTTTTTCGCTCGTGTAACTCGGTTGTTACAGTTTTTTGCTAGATCTGTAATTTAGATTTTGATTTAGCGGCTGTTATACGTTGCACGTCAATGTATACAAAAAACACGCGGCTACGGTTTCGAAAACTCTAATTGCCTTTTCGCATCCGAACAATGCGACTGAGCGGGCGCGCGCGCGCGGACAACGCGTGTATATTTGTTTCGCCCGAAATGTATATTGCACGTTTTGATATACTTCCATGAAATGGCCTTAAGCGAAAAAAAATGTTTTATTCCGATAGATTGACGCGAAAGGCGGAATAAATAATGCCGGTTACGGCGACGGTGCGTACATTTTGCCGCAGGCGAACGCGCGCGTTTTTATGACAAATCGATCATGAAGGGGGGGNCACGAAACTTAATTTATGTAACACACGTACGTAATGCTGAGATGTTCTCATTTTCCGTGATATATCAGGGATACCCATAAATAATGTAACTTTCTGATACTTATACAAAATTTTATTTTATTCAACATTTATTCTTTCAAAATTTCACAATAAACACATTACATGTCGATAAATTCCATCAGTATATAGTAATTATTACATAACTTATATACTAATTAAATTTATTGACATTTAGTGTGTTTATTGTGAAAGTTTGAAATTTTTATTACATAATAAATCACATCCACGAACAAGGTGGCAATGTTTATTCAATCTGAAAAAAAAAAAAACGACATTACTTACGGGTACCCCTGATATATTTCCGCATTGTCGAATATAATATACCCGTCTTCGTCGTCGCGTTGTCATTCTCGTCGCCCGCCCGCTCGCGCTCTCGATTTTGCGCGGACAAGGACAAATGGAGACGTTAAACCCGGTCCGTCGCGGAGATTGTATGGACCTCTCGTAATTTTCTGGGCGTCCGTAGCGCGCGCGCATCGGGGAGTTTCTCTTCTATTCACGTCGAGCGCGCGCCGTACAGTGGAGAGATGGATCGCAATTAATCGATCTATCGCGAAACTACGGGAACACTGTCGCGATAACGAATCACCGCGCTGAATGGAGAGGGAGGAAGGAAGAGAGAGAGAGAGAGAGAAAGAGAAAGGTGGTTGTACGACCAAGTACGCGAATATAATAGCCTGCGGTTTCTGCCTCGCCCTCGTGCTTACGAGTTTCCCTCCTCCCCTCTCTCCCCCCACCCCTATCCAACGGCCCTTCGATGTTCCGCCCGTGGATTTTTCATTCGCGAGAACGATGAGCGCGAGGATTTATGACGGCTACGGTGGAGGTGGTGAGCGAAAGAACGCGTAAACGCATATAGACAGAGACGGCATACTCCGCCGCTTTGAATCGCTAAGTGAGGCGGCCCTCGGCGATGATAACGCGGGAATAATTCGCCCGACACTCTCCCGGGTCGCGTCCGCGCGGGAAGAAAGAAGGAGAGGTACGTTTGGAATATTCCGCGCGACTCCTGCTTCGTTATTATATTATTATTATATTACCTCCGTGTAACAGCACGGTTCATGTCGTTGAAAATGATGTTGAAGTACAGTGAATAAATATATCAGTACGTAAATATAATAAAACGTTATTTCCTTTTTTACTTATAAAAATCAATAAGAAACATTCGTAAAAATTGTCAAAATTGTGGAATTATCCTGAAAGAATGCAGTTACGGGCACTCGTCCCGCTTAGGACTCGAAAGTTCAACGAGACACGTTAACGCAAAAGATGCGAAATCCAGAGGTGAGATTTCCGCTTCGCGTTGTTCTTGCTGAAAGAGCCAAGCTCACTTACGCATATCGGAGAAGTCATCGACCAGGATGATCTCCTGTATGAGGTGCTCCGGCGATCTGTCCAGCACGGAGTGCACCGTGCGCAGCAGCACCGACCAAGCCTCGTTGTGGAAGCAAATGATCACCGCCGTGGGTGGCAGGTCCTTCTGGTATCTACCGGGCTCCTTGCACCTGTGCACAACGTCGGGGTAATCGTTAGACGAATCGTTATTAACGCGTTACACGGTAGTAGAAAACATCGTTACGCCGTTAAAAATACCGCCTCCGCGGCGGAAACACGGCGAGCCGAGCAAAATGGGAAATATTCCCACGCGCGTACATCGCGCTCGACGACCAATTTAACCTCCGTAATAATAATGTACGCGCGTATACACGCGTATATTATTATCTCGCAATAATTTATTCCCGTGATGATAAATTTGTTTATCATACGAGTTTCGTTAACAAAGTCGGCCTCGCAGCCTCACCGCTGCAGCCGCTGCTGTTGTTGAACCCTGCGCGCGCGTGGCGGAATCGTGTCCGCGATCCGCGGACCACAATCCGGGGATGATGATTACACGGAACCGATATGTACCGGAAGATACGTCAGGAAAATACGCGTAATGCGATTATAGGGCGGAGAATGTTTGCAGACTGTACTACGCCCACGAGATGTACGCTCGCCCGTAGCTCGCCGCAAAATAAATTCCACAAGTGCGGGATCGCGACTTCCGACCTGCTTAATGCACCAATGCGCGCACCACATATCACACATACACACACACATACAGAGAAAGCACGGTTTATGGATACAGTAAATAAAAGCGCTCGCATGAACTCTTCTTTCTTCGGATATTCGCGAGGAGGCAAAGCTCGCGGTTTCTATTTATTAACGTTCGCCCGGCCGAATCCTCTGTGATCGCGCATTCATTTATTCGATACTCACGATGCTTAGTTTCGAGACGTTCGTCTCATCTGTGTTTAGCGCGCAAACAACACACGGATATCCCATTCGGATCCGCGCATACGTCGGACATCTCTTCTGTGCCTGTGATTGACTTCATCGCGGACGGATGCGCGGTGTTTTCTTTCTCTCGCGGAGAGGGGGAGAGAGAGAGAGAGAGAGAGAAAGAAATCGTTACTGCGCGTCGCGATTCCGAGCTATTCGTTCGTAATTAGCGCTCGCAATTTATACACCGCGCCGAAAACAAGCGCTCGTCGCTCGTGGCTCAACAACATCGTGCGATGCGCACGTTAATGAAGCGATTATGGCGAGGCCACTCGATAACGGCTATTACCGTGATTATTATCTGTGAATTTGGCGCGTTTACATATTTCATTCAACAGCTGTAACGCGACGCACAGTGGAGTGACGCGCTGAGAGGTGGCAGAAATTATTTTTAGCATTTTTGTGGTATGCGACACTACTGATATTGTTTTGTAAGTAATTCTCTCTTTTAATTAAAAATAAAAGACTATACTGACAGAAAAAAAATATATAAATATATAAATATATAAATTTATATTCAATTCGGTAATATATATAATATATAATATTAAACTGTCTGGTTAATAACGTTTACAAAAATATTACATCTTTTTTACTCCTCCTCCCTTATATGGCCCGTTTTTGGCCCGTTGTATCATTTTTATTCCTATCATTTTATGCTCGTTTCTTGTACTCTCAGCATGCGCAGTCTATAAAGCGAACGAATATCACGCGAGTATACATGAATATTTTTAAAGAGATCGCTCGTTTTTAATACTCGTTTTTAGCTGATATGAGAGAGAGAGAGAGAGAAAGAGAGGGAAAGAGAGAGAGAGATCACGTTAATACATTCTTCTTTTACTCAATTTCGTTTCAATACAGAAGGAAGCATGTTAAAAGGTCGTTTACTCGTGCTGTTTTAAAATGTGCAATGTGAGTGCTCGTGAATGTTAAACGATTATTTTGTATTCGTAACTGAATGAATACATCTCAAATTTACACAGTACTGTACGTATTTACTATTCAAAAATACTCAATAATACGTTTATACCACTCGAATGTAGTCCGCTACAACTACTCGTATTTACCGAAAATGGCCGTTCGTGACCCCGAAAAACGGGATCATATTCGCTCAGCCGAATGCACGTTTTCACTATTCAAACTAACATTTTTCGCAAGTTAAAAACAGTGAAACACTTTTGTAAGGGAACAATGAATAAAGGGGATAATAATAAACTTTTTCAAATAAGAGAACAGAGGATTTGTTAAAAATGTACATTACAATACATACGTTTTACGATATTTTTAAGATGCTCAATTTGATATTCTAATTCATTATCGTCTGTATGCACATGATTGTCTTAATATTTCAAATAAAATTTGATTTTTAATATTTTGTTTCATTTAAGTTTAATTCTATAAAGAACGGAGAGATAAAACTATTAAAATTGGTTTGATACAAACAAAGTTTTATTCAAAGTTGTAAAGCATTAAATATAATTTTCAAGGCACACGGAGATACAATATTTCTTTTGACAATATTATAGACCAATATATATATTATATAGTGAAAAGCATTTTTTTAAAGCCAGGAGATGCCGAAAATAATTATTGAAAAATTTTGTAAATTCCAGTAAGAATCTCGCGTCCAGCTAAAACAATGTAATTTCGTTGTGAAAATAATAAAACTCAACTATTTACATAAATTTACATAAATATCTAGTTAAAATACCTAAAGGTATCGTTTCTATGCTGTAATAATTCTAGGAATTTCCATTTTTCTCATATATCACAGTATGAAATAACATGATTCGCAAATGTACAAATGATTCTCTTGAAATTCCGACAGATAATAGCTGAACTGATGATGGAGGCAGTCAAAATGACAAATGTAGATCAGAAACGCACACATAAAGTGTTTTCTATTAGATATACGTACGCAACCTGCTTTCTTTGAGATTTCGACTTTTTACTTCCTGCCATGTTTTTTGATAACTTTGGCCCTTCCCAATGCGACGAGCGCGAGAACTCAATTTGTCGCGCGCGATTCTTTATCCTGTCCGACCGTAGCGAGACGAATCCGCAAGATCCGTCTCGCAGGAGAAATCCCTTAGTAATCAGTTACCATTTTGGAGACTGTGCATGTGCTCGTTCTCGCATCAAGCGCAGAGTTTCGCGTGTCTACATCAGCGCCGCGAGTAGCACCGGATACAAAGATAACAGATGCGAGGTGGATCAACCACGAGGGGTTGCTCCAGGAAACGGAGTGACGAGGTGAACGTAGTTAAACGGAACAATGATAAGAAGAGGAGAAACTCCGTCGAAGTGACGTCGAAGCGTCGAAACGGTCTCTCTCTCTCCTTCTTCTCGCGCTCTGATCGCTCTGATCGGATACGTCAGAATTATTGGAATCGCGCGTGTGTTTCGGAAACGAAGTTCTGAGATAAGCGGAAAAGCACCAAAATTGATGTAGATAGTTAGGACATACTCGAGCAATGCTGCTGCAAGCTTCTGTGCTGTACGGAGATGCGCCAAGTGAATACATGATAAAGCTACCCGGTGACTAATTTTCCCTTGTTCGTTTGTTTATTTATTATTGTTTATTTTGTTTATTGTTGTTTTCCTTCAAATGGTCGGGAAAAGTCACGGGATTCCTTTCCACATGATAAAAATTACGCAAGATTACAGATAACATGACAACAAGGATATATAATAAATGTATAAAATAATGTAATTTTTCAGTGTAGTATTTCAATGTATTTTTCATGTATCTTTTAACAATTTCCTGATAGGATATCATGGATATGTCGGTCTTGAAATCCACTTTCTCGAAGCGTCATTTTTCCAACTTAAAAAATAGTTATTTGCAAGAGAATACGTAACAATTTTCAAAAAGACTACAATTTTCAAAGACTACGAGATACTAAGGGTATTTGGCAAAGAAATGCTGCCGCTTTGCATTCATGCACATAAATTCCAATTCCACATCAGTAGATATCAGTACATCAACAGTATTTTGACCCAAAGCAATATGTCGGTGCATTTTCTCTAGAATTTACAAGAGAGAGAGCAATATTATCATGTCCGCTACTCTAGCGTCAACAATCTCTCGCACGGGGAAAAATCATTTGGGAGGAAGAAAAATTGTATACTGCTGTAATAAATAAATGAATATACAAGATGTTTCTTAAATAATCTAATATTTGAGCAGCTGATCTTTGAAATCATTTTATAAAGAAAAATTCATATATGTTTATATATATTCATTTCTTCATAAAATTATCTCAGAGATCAAATCATCAAATATGGTATTTAAAGAAAATCTTGTATATTTATTTATTTGCTGCGACAGCATGAAATTTGCAGTCGCTTTAAATTATTTTTCTCCGTGCACACAAGAGAGACCAACGCCGACGTCACATGTATGACAGCGAGCAATTATTTCTCTATATTTATATTACCAGAAAAACACGAGGTAGTCCGTGGGGAGGGTTTCCCAAATAAACCTCGGTGGCGGTGTTATTCGCGTCGAAGTGAAAAAGCAAAATAAACTTTTAGCGTTTCAGAATGACATTTAATGGAATTATCGCGTTTATATATGAAACGCGTGCGCGACGACAGCCAGTTAGAAATGAATGGGAGACGAATATTACTAGCGAAATGTCTCACGTATATGCGAAAATTGAAATCGTCGCCCCAACTTGGCTCTTACGATTTTCGCGGAAAGTCGCGACTCGTCTAACCTAATAATATTATGTCATGTAACGAGCAATAAATTATCGACCATGTTATACGCGGCCTAATCAAGAATTCGTATCAGCGAGAAAGAGCGGCTCGTGAAATATTAAAAGGGACATGTTCAATGAGATCTAACGGGTCTCGAGTGACCGTTGCGCTGTCTGACCATAAATTCATAAAGGTACATGGTATCCAATTAAGACAGCCGAACGGCGGCTCGAACGTGAAGATTTAATACCGCTGGAAAGGACCAGAAATATCCGCGACTGGAGATATAACTTTAACACGAACATTTAATCTAGCATCGACTCACTTGCTTTCCGATGTTCGGATTCATTTTTTAATAAACAATTACCTATACATCTCTTTCTCTCTCTCCCCCTCTTTCTTTCTCCCTGAAATAATTATTATTATTCAATAAAAGCCGCGAATACATATTTCACGCAATATTCGCGCAAATAGGAAC